CCATCTTAACCAATCTAAAGTTTAGGAAAGGCAAGCATCGGGAAGTGGGACTGGTAACAAAAAGTCATTTAATAACCTCTTTGGCCATCTATTGCTCCAGTCTGTAAAATTTTTACTTTAAGCACAGACCTTGAACCACAGGCATTTGAAAACAAAGATTATGCCAGCATCTATTCTAATTAGTGAGTGTCAAAGTATGGTCGCAGGACCAGCAGCATTGGTATTACCTGGGCACTTTTGACACTTGCAAATTCTCAGGCCCTACCCCTGGCCTACTGAATCAGAAACTTCGTGGGTAGGACTCAGAAATCTGCTTAAACAAGTCCTCCAAGTGACTCTGATACTCACTGAAGTTTTGAAAACCACTGTATGAATTGAATACTTTTTAATAATCAACCATCTGTACACAAATATCAGAGAAAATAAGCTTGATAGTTCCAAGTGTTAAAAGTAAATGTCTTATGCCTTAGCACCCAACGAGTACCCTCTCAAACCTGTAACTCCGAATAGTCAAGTAAAATGATCCAAGCACTATTGTACCTGAGAGTATCTCCTGGCCAGGTGGTGGAGGGGCTTGGAAGGCATACACGTTATCGCCCTCTGCAATAGTGTTCAGGTCATCTTCATCAAAGAAAGACCGCTGGAGTCCGCTGGGATACAGTTCAACCAAGATCACCTGGAATGAGAAGGATCATTTTGCCTCTTGATTTCTCAAAGGGAACTTAACAAATAAGAAATCCAAGGGTGAAAGGATTAAGAATACAAATTGGCAGTTACAAAATAGTCATGGGGATGTAAAGCACAGCATAGGGAATACAGTCAATATTGTAATAACTCTATATGGTGTCACATGGGTACTAGACCTATGGAGGGATCACTTATAAGTTATGTAAATGTCTAAACAGTATGCTATACTCATGAAACTCATGTAATACTGAATGTCAACGGTAATTGAAAAAAGTTTTTGATTAAAAAAATAATAAAGTAAAAGTGACTGATAGGCTTAAACCTCTCTCTTACCCTTGCCTTCCTTCTAACTAGTAAGAAATGCTACTATTTTAGTACTAAACCACAATAGGTATAACAATTAGATTGACTACAGACATCTCAACTGCAACTGCAACAACAGAATATTGAACTGCCTTAGAGAAGGGTGGGGGGAAGAAAGTTGAAAATCTAAAGTTTACCACCCAACTAAACTATCACATAAGATAAACATAAAATAAAGTCTTCTTCAGATAAACAAAAAGTGAGAATATTTACTGCTAACAGATATTGACTGAAAGAACTTTTAATAGAATTACCAACTTTTTTTACATTATGTCATACATGAAAAATATTTTTATGGAACACAGAAGTAAGCAGAAGCTGGTTTTGTAGAGAAAAATAGGGGTGACTGCCTTGTTCTGGCCTTCCAGACCCAACTTTGTCACCTCAAGCGCTGAAGAAATCAACATCTCGGCCACACATAAACCATTCAAGGCACACTGGCTGAGAAATTCTCTTATAAAAGATCATTTCAGGATTAAAAACAAACTGAATCCAGAAGGAAAACCTGAGATGTGAGAAAAATAAGAAACCAAAGAAAATATTGGGTTGTCAGAAAAGTCCTGATGTAGTTTTTCTATGTTTTTCGTTGCAAAAATGCATCATGAGTTTCCTGACAGCCCAATAGTCAACACTGATAAATGTAAATATGCGTTGATAATATAAACCTATAATAACAACCATACTACTACTACAACCAGGGAAAAAGGGGAGGAGGGATTAAAATACTAGACAAAAATATCCATCTATAGTATCTAAATCAAAAAGATACGAAGGAAATCAAAACATGCCAAGATCCTTATGTTTTCTGGGAAAATTAACATGGTTTATGCATGTTGGCATTTTATGATAACCAGTAAGAGCATGGAAATATAATTATATGACCCAAACCTGAAGAGATGGGAGTGTAGAAAAACTGCTCAATCCAAAAGAAGCAGTAAAAACATAAAATTAAATAAACACAAAGCAGTAAATGAGGGGGGAAAAAAACAAAGGAAAAGCAGAGTAAATAGAAAGCATAAAATAAGATGATATAAATAAGTCCAAATATATCTATGATCATAGGTAATATAAATTGGATAAGGTTACCTGTTTAAACAAAATCTCAAAATAGACTTTAAGTTCCAATCAAAGGGTCCATCCCTGCACTTAGGAATCCCAAGTGAAACCTAACTCCCTGAACAAACACATTGCACCTGTCAAATTCCTGACAGTCCTTTTACTCTCTTAATTATTCAAACTCTGCTTCTCTGAGACGTCTCCATTTTGATATTTTATTACTGCCATTTTCCCCCAAGATTGTCACCTACTGTCCTACTCTCTGTCTCACTCTCTCAATAGGTCCCCATAGTGTACTTTGAGATTACAAAGCAAGATATACACATTTTTCTCCACTTGAGGCCCTCATAAAAATGGTGGTAGAGATCAGAGGGGTTGATCAGGTGGAGGCAGGAAGGAGCCCACTGGAATGATAGAAAGGTTCAAGTAATCATGGTGGTTTACATGGATATAAAAATTCAACAAATTTTAACCTTAACACATGTACACTTTATTGTATGTGTGTTATTCCTTAACAAAAAGGTTAAAATATTTAACTTGAAAAAAGTCCCATGAGGTCACCAGAGAAATATAATATTTCCATTTCGTAGTTAAACAGAGGACCAGTTATTTTGCTCAAGGTCAAAAAACTAGAAAGTGACTGACTCACAATTAGAACTCCATTCAGAGCCCTTCCCACCATTCCATACTGCTTTTCCTCACCATCACCTCTACCCTGCTCTTTCATTGGGCCCCTCGTACAAGTTCTGTTCTCCAGAGTCACAGTGAATCCAACTTCTTTACCAAGGCTCCTTTAAAAAAAACACTAGAGAGCCAGGCGAGTGGTGCGTTGGGTATGAGCTGGCTTGGGATGCCAGCTCTGAGCAGCAGGGCCCCGGTTCAGATCCCACATGAGGGCCAGTGACACTGCCCTCTACAGCTAAAATGGTGAACAACAGCTCAACCTGGAGCTGGGCTTCCGTGAGTTGCTGGCAACGGCGTAGGTTGCAGTGGGGCTGGCCGGCAGTGGGGTGTGAGCTTTCGTGAGCTGCCATGAGCGGCCGTCCAGTGGCTGGCTACCAATCTGCCTCACCCAGGAAGAGCACAATGATAATACCATCATGGGCCAGTGACGTGACGTCCTCCACAACTAGACTGAAGAACAGAAGGACAGCAACTTGTCTGTTCCCCTTCCCCGATTCCCCAATGCTGTTCCCCTCCTCCAATTCCCCAATAAAATCTTTAATAAAAAAAAATTTAAAAAAACACTAGAGCACAACCATCCCATTTTCCCCAAGTTCTCCCCTCTCATGTTAAACACTCTGTTCCCTCAGTGGTTCCCCATATTTCCTTCATTGTCCCTTCAGCATCCTGGCCTATATGCTGATGAATAAAAACATTGAATAGGGGCTCAGGCTCTGAAATCAAGTCATCTGTGTTCAAATCCTGGCTCAGCCACTTAACAGCTGTGTGACCCTAGGCAAGTCACTCAGCCTCTCAATGCCTCTTCTTCTTTGCTCTCTGGTAAAACGAGGATTATTGTAATATCTACTTCACAGAATGGTTGTAAGGATTAGTTCAGCTAGGCATATACAGTTCACAGAATAGCGCCCACTTACTAAGCACTACTGAGGAATAGCTATTGTTGGAATTACTATGATGGTGATCATCATCACTTTCTTGGAAGATAAAGGTGTGTCTTTTTCTGGTTCTTCTGTGTAAAAGCTGGGAGAGGTCAAGGTCAGTCATCATTGACACCAGAGACTACTAATCAAACAGAAACTCATGAGTCACACTAGGGTAACCTGGGAACCAGAAATTAGCCTAGACAGCATTTTGTCCTCCAGTGACCAGGCCCCATGCAATTCCATCATACCTCATCCACAGGGACTTTGCTTTCCTCTGCCACCATTTTCCTCAGGGCTGCCACTGTGCTGAGGATTGGTACGGCCAGGCCAACCCGCAGGAACTGCTGGCTCTTAGAGGGGAAAACCAAGGTGACGCTCAAGAATCTGAAAAATAGAAAGGAGTCCAGGGCCAGCCGAGTGGCGCCTTGGTTAAGAGTTGGCTTGGAAGCGCAAGCTCTGAGCAGCAGGGCCGCTGGTTCGGATCCTATATGGGGACCAGTGACACTGTCCTCTACAGCTAAGATGGTGAACAGCTCGACCTGGAGCTGGGCCGCAGTGAGTTGCCAGCAACGGTGTAGGCTGCAGTGGGCTGCCATGAGCTACTGTGAGTGGCTGGCAGCCAGCGTGAGCAGCCAGCAGCCGGCGTGAGCTGCTGTGAGCCACCGTGAGCGGCTCTCCAATGGCCCACGAGCAATCTGCCTCAGCCGGGAAGAGCACAGTGATCATAATACCAACATGGGCCAGTGAAGCAATGTCCTCCACAACTAGACTGAAGAACAAAAGGACAGCAACTTGTCTTCTGTTCCTCTTCCCCGATTCCCCAACGTTGTTCCCCGCTTTGCCAATTCCCCAATAAAATCTTAAAAAAAGGAGCCCACAACATTAAAGGACAGACATGAACTGTGGACAGTGGGTCAAGTTCGGCACTTAACCTAATTTCTGCTTCAGGGTCCGATCACTGCATTTTAGGCACACTGTCACAAGGTGGCAGTGGAGAGCTAATTCTCCGAGGGTCTTTGCTGAGTTAAAAATAAATGGTATTTAATTAAGAATCAAAATAAAGTTTGCGTCTCAAGGTTCTGTTTGTTAAATAGATAATCTTAACCAAAAACAAACTAAGTTTGAGAAGTAAAGCAGTCAAGCTTCTTCAGTAAGATTCAACACTACTGATGATGTCCTCCTTACCTTACTAAAATTCTCCCTTAGTAATGGGACGCACCCAACCCCTTTTATCCCACCTCTTACTATCCCCATCAGTATACCAGGCCTCACTCATCCCGCTCCTGTTTCTGCTGTTCTATACTGCAGTAATTATTCACATAATTAATAAAGCTGGGATTTGAACACAGGCAGTCTGGCCCCAGAGTCAGTGGTCCCAACCAACATGCTATGCTGCATCAAGCCAGGAATCTTAACTCACATCTACCAGCAGACATGCTCTGATGGTGTCACTGGTGATAGGATAAGCCAGTGTTATGTATGTGTGGCACAGACTATCAGCAGCACAGGAATTCAGAGAAGAAAGGGGGATTAAATTGCCAGGAAAGGCTTTATGAGGCTGTCATGCCTTCAGCTGCATCCTAAAGATGGAGGATGTCAACAGAAGGCAAGAGAGATATTGTGGAGGTGGAACACAAGGAAGAAATGCCACCATCTTGCTGCCAGCGAAGGCACCCCATCTAGGCGCTCATTAAACTTTCATGATGGTGACATTGGCCAGTTGCCTTACGGTCACTGCTAAGGCCTGGGCTTCTGGGAGGCCTGCACTATGTGCTTCTTACTGTTTTTTATTAAGCCGGGCCTCACCACAACTCTTACCCAATCCTATCTCCTCTTTTCTTGTTTTCTCATTTCCTCCAACAACCCTTTCCCTTTTTCTTTGCTCCTTAGTAAACATTTTCCTACATCTTCACAAAACTGAGAAAGAATTTGGAAATACAGCAGGGAAACGTTGGTGGTGACAGATTTTCTTCCACTTGCCCATCTGACTGATGGTACCGATTGGCCCATGCCAGCTTCTGAATGGGCTAAAGACATAAGCCTAGTGCTGATCAACAAAAGCTTTGTAATTACTTCTTCAGTTAAAGATGGGACACAGTAACCTTTCACTTTAATTGTCACATTCCATAATTGAATGTTACCTAGCTATAAGGCTAGTTTTTAGAGAAACATTGGCTGAGAAGCAAAAGTGGGACAAATGCAGATGCAAGGCCAGAAGGTTCCCAGTAAGGAGTAAGGACAAAAGTCAAGTTTACCGGGCATGATGCTCACGTACCTTGTTTGGCGCAAGGGGATAGGTAGTGACACACACAGAAAAGGGTCGAAGGTGTTGCTCTGTTTCAGGCAATGGGGACAAGTCAAGGAAGATCTGTGAGGACAAAGAATAGAAATGTAAGTTTAATCACATTTAAACAGTTTGGCGGTTGCTAGAAAGTTAAATATAGGATTACCATTGTAATTCTACTCCTACATATAGACAGTAAGTCCCCGACTTAGGAACGAGTTCCTTTCCGGGAGAACGTTTGTAAGTCGGATTCGTTCGTGAGTCCAACCAAGTGAGTCTTTGCGCTTCCTAGCAGTCCCCTCCATATCACCACTGCTTTTCCTCTTGCTTCCGGACATCCTGGGCTCTGACTGAGCACTGTACTACTGTACACTACCGCATTGTACAATAAGCACACAGCAGCACAACTGTGACAATGTCTGGCAGACACGAGAGCTACTTTCGCAATTTGTTCACATCTACAAATGTTCGTAATGTGAGGTCCATTTGTATCTGTGAAAGTTCGCAACTCAAATGTTCATAAGTCGGGGACTTACCGTACTCAAGAAATTGAAAACAGGTATTCAAACAAATGTAATACGTGTACAAATGTTCATAACAGCATTATTCACAGTAGTCAAAGGGTGGAAACAACCCAAATGGTCATCAATGGATGGATGGGTAAAGAAAACGTAGTGTATACACACAGTGGATTATTATTCAGCCATGATGTCCTGACATGCTACAAGATGGCTGAAACGCGAAAAGAATATGCTATGTGAAGGAAGTCAAACACAAAAGGCCACATATTTTATAATTCCATTGATAGGAAATACCCAGAATATATTCCAACATGTAAGGGATTTCTGGATGCTACAATTCTTATCCTAAAATCTACATTAACTTCCTTGGGAATATGGAACTGTACCCACGAGCAGTCTGTGCTCTCACCACAAAACAGCCCCATGGTCAGTCAGCAAGGAAACCCGAGCTGCTACCAGAACCAGGTTTTCTGACTCTGTTTGACTGGTTTTCTCTTGAGCAGATGAAATAGAAAAAGAAAAAAAGAAAAAAGAAAAAAAGGGACAAGCAAGATACCCTGAGGTTTTCCAGGTGCTGTCCCAGACGACCTTAAGTGATCTGCTCACAGAAAGTTGGCTTGCCTGGATACAAGAGAACACAAACCATGATCTTAGAAAACAGATCTAAGTATTTAATGTTCATCCCCTCTTACTGCCTCTGATCAACTTCACTTTGGGAAAACCATGGTAATGTTTTGGTAAAATACGGTGTTCAGACATCAAGATCCAGCCAGCAGGGGGACTTGGCATTGTGGGGTCCTCTGCCACCCCAATTCTCTCCAATCCTTCTCCCACCTTCACCCAACATGTATCTAAACATAACAGAGGCTTGAAGGATATATTTTTGTCCTTGGGAAATTTCCAAATCCCTTTTTCACATTTAAGCAAACAAATGAAAAGAAATATATTTTTTTTCTTTAAACCTACTAAAACTAAGATAGGCTGCATTTTTCTTACAGAGTTGCATCACATTAAACTGGCTCAGAGATAGGCCTTTATATTGAACCACGAATCTCTGTCAGGGAGCAAGAGATGTTTAGTTTGGAAAAAAACATACAAAGGTTTAATTTTATATTTAAAGAATGAAGAAAACTTGGTTTTAACAGTAAACTACAGAAAGAAAGTGAAGTACACCTGTTTCTGAAAGGATGCGAAATGAGGACAGAGTGGAACCAACAAATCAGGAAGAGACAGGGGCAGCATCACTTTTACAGAAACCTCTGGAAGTTGCTAGGTTCCAGCTATCTCACATGTGGCCTGAGAAGTACTGTAGTCCTCGCCATCCCTTCTAGAGCATTCAGTCCTGTCCTATTGTCCCCCAAACACTCACAGGGGAAAGGGACAGAAAGTCACCCCACTGGCCTTCAACGTTCACTCACACCTCTCCCTAAGGTGGTCATTCTCATCTCCTTGCTTCTGTTACAAAGCCAACCTCATCAGTGGCTTCCGAGCCTCGGGCCTTCTCTCTGCTTTACACCAGTTACAAATGCCAGAATTAAGGCCCAGGCTCTGACACTGCACATGTCATCACTCTGATCTCCCAGTGCCTGCAAATACCCAGTTCACACCTCCAACCTGGCCAGCTTCACCTGCTCACTGGACAGTGGAACTGATGTCTATGCCAGCAATAGTAATTACGACAACACGTAAGCGAGGTGTCACCTCTCCAAGATCTGTTCTGACAAAGCCTTTGAAAGCCTAGTCTGCCTAAAAGGGAACGCTACCTGTGATGGGGACCGGATTAGACTCTCTGTGAATAAAGCTATGAGTAACACGAAGAAATAAACATACACACGCACGCCCATGCACACACACACACTCTCTCCTCTAGTCAAAACGCCAACAGAGCAACAATCCTTGGTTATTAAACTTGCAGGTGTTTTAGGTTGTGGTCATAATCATACAGAATAGCTAATTATTTTTCCTCTAGTTTTCTAGTTCATATCTCCAGCATCCTAATACTATTTATTCCTCCTTCTCCATTCCAGCCAAAGTCAAACACTCAGCCCCCTACAAGGGAGGGAGGAGAGACGGAGGAGGGAGAAAGTCAGTGAACAGAGTTCTCTCAATTGACGCATAATACCTCTTTCAGCTTTCAATTCTATAAAGCAGGCTGATACCAGGGCAACTTTGCATTCCAGGTGAGCCTTCCGAAGTGGAGAGGAAGGCTGACGAGGGTCTAGCCAGCAGCACCACTCAGAGGCACCACCGTGGAGCTGGCCGCCACTGACTGCTACAGAAAATCACTTCTCAGGCCTCAAAAGTCCTAGCCTGGTGGACATCCCTAGCAATTATTTTTTCTTTACTAAAGATGATCAGGCACAAAGTAGGTATTTTTAGCTGTCATCGGTACTTTCTATTTTTAGCATGAACACCTCGCTTCTTACTCATCATCCTATAGTAATCTACCCAAAGGGCACTGGCCGTCCTTAATATCTGATTGGCTCAAATGTCAATTCCTCACTGACTCACCCTGTGCCAGTCAGGCACTTTGTGATATTGTGATTTTAATAAGAAATATATATTTGCTCTCCACACCTGCTCCTGGCACAGAATGCCTAAAACCTTTGACATTTCCTAAGTCATAAGAGCAAGAATAAAGGTGAAAGAAAAATCTTTTGTTATTTGTAACAAGCCCCTTACTACCACACCTGAGTGATGTTATTGAGGTGATTTTTGGAAAGTTGGTAGATAACCCCAGGATGGGGCTGGTTGCCAGGGGAACCAACTATGTGATTAGATGGTTGGAACCTTCAGCTCCCCTCCCCCACACCTCCTGGAGAAGGAAAGGGAGGTAGAGGTTGAGTTTATCACTAACGGCCAATAATTTAATCAATTATATCTATGTAATGATGCCTCCATAAAAACCCTAGCAGGAGGGGTTTGGAGAGCTTCCAGGCTGATGGACACGGGAGGTGCTGGGAGGGCGGCTTGCCCTGAGAGGACATGGAAGCTCTGCTTCCCTTCCCACACACCGTGCCCTGTGCATCTCTTCCATCTGACTGTACCTGGGTTGTCTTCTTCTGTAATAAACTGGTAAACTGCTAAGTAAATTGTTTTCCTGAGTTCTGAGCTGCTCTAGCAAACTATCGAACCTGAAGAAGAGATCATGGAAACCTCCAATTTACAGCAAGTCAGAAGCACAGGTGACAACCTGGGACTTGTAACTGGTGTCTGGTGGGGAAGCAGTCTGGTGGGACTGAGCCCTTAACCTGAGGGATCTGAGGCTACCTCCAGGTAGTGACAGAATTGAATTGTAGGATACTCAGTTGGTGTCCAGAGAGAACTGCAGAATTGCTTGGTATGGGAAAAACACCCACACATCCAGTGTCAGAAGTACTGTTGAGTGTGATAGTAATAAAGAGTAGTGTAAGAAAACAAGAGTTTTTTCCTCTTTCATACCTGTAACGTGCATTTCAAAGCACCATCAATTTTTCCTTCAAAGCGCTCACCAGGTGTTAACTATATAAAAACCCAGGAGTCACCCTATTTTCTCATCTCGCCCTCAATCCCTCCACTCAATACCCTTCAACCCATTAGCAAGTCCTATTGACTCTACACCCAAAACATGTTCCCCATCCACCCACTTCTCTCCATCTCCACCGTGACCTCCAGGGTCCCAGCCCCCATCATTCACTGCTGGGACGACTGCAAGACATGAGCCGCTGCTTCCGCGTCCAGTCTTGCCTCCCTTTATTGCCCATAACAATCCGCCTCACCTCTCACATTGGTACTAGACCACACTCTGTTTTCAATTTTGCAATGGCTTCCTGTGCCCTTTAGACCAAACCCCACATTTGGACTGGACACCTGTGCTACCAGGTCCCCATCCACCTCTCCAGCCTCACCCCTCACTACTTGGCAATTCTCTGTTCCTTGAACTTGCCAAGGTCATTCCCACATCAGGCCCTGTGTCTTTGCTATTTCCTCTGCCTGGAATACCCTGTCCCCAAGTATTTGAATGGCTGACTCCTCTCACTCAGTTCTCAGCTCAAATGTCCCCTCTGAAAAGAAGCCTTCCCTGACCACCTTATCTCAGGTTGGCTGCCTCCTCCACCTCCCAGGTTACGCCTTATCATTTCACTTATCACTGTGGCAAGTTGTTTGTTGACGTGTGTATTATCTAACACCTCCCCAATAGAACGTGAGCTCCATGAGAACAGGCGCTGGGGCTTGTTCACAGCTCAATGCCCAGCACCTAGAAGAGAAGCTGGCACGTAGTAGGCATGATGAACAATCTAGAGAATAAATGGATATATTTAATTAGTATTTCTCTCTCATGGGCAAGGAATTATGATGTTCCTCATTATAACCAGGGGACCAAGCACAGTATCAGACGCTCAGATATTTGAAAGAAGACAACAGTATGTGTGGACAAGAGGGGAAGAGGGTACAGAGAATGGAGTGAGCAGAGAAATTAGTGAATTTATTGTACAAGGACACCAATGGCCATCACTGGTGACCCTTCCCTGCTAACATGCTCTCACCTTGTATTCCCTTTTCCCTCCTTCTATATGTTCTTTCTCCTCCGTCTCATTTTTGTTTCAAGCAGCTTGTGCTTTGGGCATCGGAAGATAGACAGATTCTCTAGAAGTAGCTTTCATGGCTAAAAAGGTCAGTAGCCATGAAATCTAAGTTTCCTCTCTGCATACCTTGTAGCAAGCACATCACCACACCTCTCAGGAAATAAGTGGGCCTCTCTTCATGGACAACCATGAAATGTGGGCTCATTTAGAAGAGATTTTAATTACCCAACATACTAAGCAACCAAGGACAGGAGTGGAGTGCCCCCTGGTCATTCTGGCTGTTTGTTCAGGGTCCTCCCTGGGCAATTTGAAGTAATCTCCTCCTTCCCAAACACAAAGAATACAAATGCCCCAAAATTAATTGTTATTTTATTTGAAATAAGAAAAAAAAAAAACAGGCCTATGAAAAATACAGCAGATCAAAGGAAAAAGTCTCCAGAAAACTCAGAGAAAAGCACACCTTTGAAAATGATTTAATGCAACATGCAGAAGAAAAATAATTTAAAAACAGTTTGATATCCATAATAGAGAACAAGAGGGCAGAGCTGCTGCACAACCCAAGTAGCAACAGAACATCACAAGAAAAGAACAAGGAAAGATGGAAATGCAACCAAAGAGAAAGAATTGCAAAGAAAACAAAAGCAGGACTTGTGCTTCTGAGATCAAAGGTCAAACCCTGGTTCCATCAATTACTGTGTGTCCTCAGGAAAAGCCCAACCTCCCAGTTTGTTATTCATGTCCTGGGGCTCTTGAAAGGATTACATTTGGAGCAGAGCATGTCACTTGGAGAGGGTTCTCTGTAACAAAGGCTCCCTCTAAATCCTGATCGTTGGGCTTATTCCACTTCTAAGGGAATTTCATTGTTGTTGAATATGTTCCCACCCATTCAATCCTATTTATCGCTCAGAGCTCATCAAAAGGCACATCTCCTCCGAGAAGCCTTGGGGGATTTCTCCCCTTTCTGACCTCTCACTGCAATTAGTGCTTCCATTAAAACACTGCAATATTTCAAAATATTCTGCCTTATATGAATCTCTGAACTGTCAGATATGAAATCCTAAAGAGAACTTTTCTGAAGTTGAAGGCTGTGCGAGTATATATATATTTTTATATTCTCCAGGATGCTGGCAAATTTTGAACTCATGATGCTGGGCTCTCTGGCTATAAAGCATAAACAGGAAGGGTCTCACAAGCTTCCCAATGACTGCCTGCTGGGCAGATCCACATTCACAAACTGTAGAACCATCCTCGCATAACCCCTCTCAAGGAGACAGAGAAGGGCCAGAAGCCAGCAAGAAGGAAAAGGAGGAATACTAAAGGTCAGAGGCCATAGGAGTGAGTGGTTAAATGCGATTTATAACAGGAGAGAGAGGGTGTTTGTGGGTTTTCTGTAATCTCAGGGGGAAACCTGGCCATGGGAGGCTGGTTACCAGCATATAAATTTGCTGAACTCATTCTTACCTATATTGTGCTTGAAAGTGGCTTTGCACAAAGCTGTGACCTAGAGAAAGCTGAGCCGATGGTGACAGGAGATTCTCAGAGGTTTTACTGGCTTCAGGCTGAAGCTGCAAAATAATGAGGAAAGGAAGCAAATTAGACACACCTCCTATCACTCCACTGCTTCCAGAGCATCGAGCCTTGGCCTCCTCCTGGGCCCATGTCACCCCTTCCTGGGCCTAGATGCTGCAGAACTTGGACCTTCAATGTTGCCTGTACCATAATTCGCGACTTCTTCAATCTCGACTTGCCAAATTCTCTATGAGAGAGAATGTGTCGCAAAAGCCTTGGCGAACACTCACACGTACTTGACCAGTCTCAACTACTGCTTCTGGATTGACCACCCTGCTCTTTATCTCTATCTTGCTGGGCCTCCTGAGTCTAGATGCCTCCTGGTCATTACACTTAGGTGTGCTGCTGTGACTTCAAACACCTCCACACCATATCTTCCCAGCTTCTACCTACTCAACCGTTTCTATCCACATGTGCCAGTGGGTCAGTCTTCACGTGACCACCATCTTTCTCAGACAAACCACCCTGCACCTTAGAATAGCACGTAAGCCTCCTTCACTCCACACATCAGTCTTATCGTAGCCTTCTTTACATTCTCCTCTGTATTACTTTCCTGTTGTTATCATAGCAAATTACCACAAGCTGGAGGCTTAAAGCAACAGAATTTTATTCTCTCACTGTTCTTGACATCAGACATCCAAAATCAGTATCACTAGCCCAAAACAAGGTGTTGGCAGGGCCACACTCCCTCTGGACACCCCATGCCTCTTCCAGCTTCTGGTGGCTACAAGAATCCGTGGTTTGTGGCCACATGACTCCAGTCTTCGAAGCCAGTATCTTCAAAGATCCAGTAAAAAGGAACACATGTGAAGTGTTTGGGCTGAAGTGTACCGAAGTCTGCATGTTAATTTAAGATGCATCAAAAAAATAAGGTGAAGAAAAAAAAGGATGGAATGATGAGTGACTACAGGGATGGACAGATGGATCAATATGTGACTAAAACCATTTTAGTAAAATACAGATTATAGAATCTAGGTGGTAGGTATGTGGTGTTCACTATACAATTATTTCAACTTTTCCATATGTTTGAAATTTTCCATAATTAAATAGTGGGACACATAAGAGTGACAAATATTCAGAATGGTCACTCTTATTTGTCCTATTATTTTATTAAGCCCAAATTTGACCAGAATACAGGCTGTGCAAAGGGAAGTAGAAGGAGAAGACAGGGCTGGAGAGAGTCTGCAGCCACATTGGGTGGGGCCTTCAATACCCTAAAGACTACCTGGTTCAGTAAACAGCATAGCACTAGGGTTAAAAATTAGACTCTGGAGTCAGACTGTCTGGGTTCAAATCCCTGCACTGGCACTTAGCCGGTAGGGTTACTCAACCTGTGATCTAACTAAATAACTTACCTAATCTCTCTGCTCTGAGGTTTCCCAACCATAATAAAGGGATACTCGATGATAATACCTATATGATACAGATCTTCTGAGATTAAGAGTTAGTATATATAAAACACTTAAACAGGGCTTACTGTGCCAACACAATGGGAAGAATCTGATAGGTCTTGAAACCAGTGGTAGTTACATACACAGGGAGATGCTTTAACTTGACAGACATGTGCAAGATGAAGGAAGGTGAGTCTGTTGTTTGGACACAAATTAGGAGGCTCGAGGGTCCAGGTCACAACAGAGTAAACTAGAGTAGGAGCTGTAAAAATGAAAAGGAGGGAAATACTCGGATACCCTGTGTACACAGCTCGTAACTGAGCACCGGGGGTGCAGAAGGAGAAAAGGGGAGGAGATAAACAAGACCAACTCCAAGCTTCCAGTCTGGTGCCTGGAGAATGAATGCCTATTCCACTAATAGAAGAGTCAAAAGAAGTGGGTCAGGGAAGGGTATGCCGAGTCTGAGGGTTATCCACATCCAACAGCACATCGACGAAGGGCTCAGAGGAAAGAGAACTTGGATGTAGGACAGGCAAGGGCATTTCTGGCTGCCCAGGAGTCACTCCTCTTCTTTGGTAGAGCACCCCTTTGGGAACGTTGAATCCAGCCCAGGAAAGGGGGGGAAGGCTCTTCTACCAGGAGTCCTGCTGTCCCTTACACATGACCCAAGCTACGCTGATGAGATGTTCCTGCCTTACAGGGGAATCATGAGCAGAGTGACCCAAAGGCTACAAACAGTGATTCTAACAGCAGAGTCCAGGCCAGAGCAGTTCCTGCCACTGAAACAGCCCCACCCCAGAGCTGTCTGGTTCTAGCAGGTTCCAAGCCTGGTTCTTCAGCCTTCCCTCTGATCCTGCATGAGGCCCCTTGGCCTTCTCGTAAGTTCCTTTCTTTGAGTCAGATGCAGACCTCACAATGATAGAGGCTTGTCTGTAGCACACTGGGAGTGGCAGTGGGAGGGATTACCCATTCGGTATGGAAAGAGGAAATCCTGAACAAGACTGGGGTGAAAGGTCCCAGAGGGTCATTCACAAAGCAGGGACTGTGAGGTCAGACCAGGCTGGCTCGGCTCTGCTAGCCCAGTGACCCTGAACATCTCTCTGAGCCTCATTCCACATCTAAAAGGAATAGGAGTATCAAGGCCACCTCGTGGGGCCATCGTTAAAATAAAAAATGATGTGTGTATCCTGCCTGGCACATAGTAGGTGCTCAATATATGCTAGCTACCTGATCCTCTCCCCAGCCTCATCCCTTTCTTCATTCTGCAAGAGTGCCGTTTTCTGTAAGATAAACTGCCAAAAAAGATTGCTTCTGTGGTACTGTCTATAGGATAGTAAAAATATGCCCTTTTTGTGAGATGAAAACATTTGAGAATCATTACAGTTACAGAGAAGAAAGTAGTCCTTATGTTTTCTATTCCAGTTTCAATAAATCTAGCGAGATGGCTTTCATATGTTTTGAAACAGAAATAGCCTCAAAAAGAAAAATTGTTCACTTACGCAAAGGATCGTCCCTTTCCTTCTTGGAAAGGGAAAATGAACTTTCGTGCCAAATAATCCCCACAGCCTTGCTCCTGCCCTTCAAGTGTTGGCAGCCAGGCCTCCACAGGTGGCCCGATTTTCTGAGAGCAAATTTCAGAGAAGTCTTTGAGCCCAGACAGAGAAAAAGATCTTTTCTGGTTTCAATCAGGTCAAATGAAGAGCCGGGCAAGCTTCTCTCTGGCCAGCAGCCACGCCTGTTCTTGCAGGTCATGATGTGCTCCTACCGTGCTTGGCCCGTTAAAGAAACAGAAAGTAGCCAACATGACCAAGAACACTGAGTGGGGACCAGAGAGGACTTAAGTCTGGCTGAGTGGTTGGCAGGCCCTGGTAGGGCCCTGTCGGCCACAGAGTCTGGATTTTGTTCGAAGTGCCACAGGAAGCCACGGGAGAAATGTAAGCAGGAGAGTGACATCAGTTTATTTCCTTTCTGAAAAGGTCACTCTGGCTACAGTGTGGACAACATACGATAGTAGTGGGGCATACTGGAAATTGGAAGGCCAATTATGGCTGCTTTTACATGGCTCTTAAAGTTGTTAGGAAGAATTATTGGCCGGGCCTCTCGGTTTAAATAAACTCAATGTTATCTTAAAGAAAGGTTTGGGAGTGGTACACCGTGGTTGGGAGCAACTGCTCTCACTGGAAGGGCGGGGGGGAGGTGCTTTTGCCTCCCAGGGGGCATTTGGCAATGTTTGGAGACATTTTTGGTTATTAATCACAATTGGGGGTGCCAATGGCATCTACTGGGGTAGAGGGGTACTACAAATGCTACAATGTCCCCACAACAAAGGATTGTCAGGCCCCAAATGTCCAAAGTGCTAAGGTTAGGAAACCCTGTTCTAAAGCATTTCCTAGATGGATCCTGGCTCTCCCACTTACTTGCTATGTGACTTGGGGCAATTTACTTAACTGCTCTGTGAGCCCAATGCCTTTTCCTGCCACTAAGGGACAAAGAGGAAGATTGAAAAGCAATTTAGAAGGCTGATGGTCCTCCCATTTTCCAGGTAGGAAGAGCTGCCTGGCACAGGCAGGGAGCAGGAGGGGAAAAACAGGACAGGAGGCCTTGCCTATGCAGCCAGCAGAAAGAGGCGGCACAGGTTCTCCCTGACCCCCTGGTGGGGGAACTGAGAAGGCACACTCACATAATGAAAGGGTTGGGGGAAGTTGAGTGACCCTGGGCAACTTACTTAACCTAAATTCCCATTCACTATAAAATATGAGCTATCCTTACAAATATTAAAGTATGATAACTACTGAATTTTTTCAACCATTCAAGAGCTTATCGAGTGTCTCCTGTGTATCAGTAGTAAACTAAATCATGAAAAACATCAAGTTAGATGCATGGTACATAAATATTCAATAAACAGTATCTTTTTTTTTTAAACACATCATTCTGATTTCAAAATGTGTTCATTCTAAGATTATGGAATACACAGTGTAGCAGAACCTAAAAATGTTCTCCTTGGCTTTGTGATTTGCATGGAGCTCACCCCTACACACACACACACACACACACACACACACACACACACACACACACACACACACACACACACACACACACGACCCAGGTGTGCCCAATCAGAATATTGCACTCTGCTGGCCACCTATGCAGTAGCGGGCATGTGAACCACTCAAGAACAATCATACTCTTCCCAGGGCTTTTTTCTGGAATCCCAAGTATTAAAGACCATGTGAGCATTGCAGGGGCCCCTGTTGTCCCTAGGTGAGCAGAGCCAGTCTAAGAATGAAGCCAGAGACAAGAGATACAGAGCCAAAAACCTGGTAACATCATCTGAGTCCTTGGATCCAGCCTCACCTGAAACTGGTGCAACCCTTGAACCTGCACATTATAAAAGCCAATAAATGACTTTTCCTTAAATTGAATCAAGTTACATTTATGTCATTTGTAATTACAAGCGTCTGAATAAGATAAACAGAAGATTACTATACATAAAAGAAAAATCACCCATAATCTCACAACCCAGAGAAACCACCATAACCTTTGCATGTGTGGTCCTCCCAGGTTCTATTGTGGTGATGTTTTTGCTTTGTTGCATTTTTGTGTTTTGTGGATGACTGGGGTGGTTCTTTTTAAAATAAGAAAATAGGCTTTCAAGCCAGACCCCCTTGGACTTGAATACCAACTCTGTCCCTTCTCTAGCTGTGTTGCCTTGGAAAGGTTACCAAACCTCTCTGATTCTTGGTTTACACATATGTAAAATGGGGATAATCACCCTAGCACCACTCCATAAATGATAATCATTACTCATACAGTATATAACACGCCAAAATGTGATCCAAGGAGTGAGTACTCTGTACAACCAGTATTTCCTTGTTCCATGCGTCTGGTAACTTGCTGTATTGGGCAAGAGGATGGTTTTGCAGCTCCATCAAACTCTTAGCTTTTAATTGCATTACATTGTTGTTTAAAATGGATCTATTCTTATTTGAGACATATATGGTTCTGTTCGCCTTTTCTTCAAGTTGCAACTTGTCATTTTAAAAGAGAAAGGCACAAAGATAACAGCTGGCTATGTGGACAAGTTAAAAATAATGACTCAGCTTCCTAAGCCAGTCATTCTTTCTCTTTTTTTAATAAAAAGTGTATATATTTAAGGTATACAACATGATGATCTGACATACATATACATAGTGAAATGATTACCACCATCCAACTAACAAATCCATCTCTTCACATAGTTTACCTTTTTTGTATGTAGTGAGAACACCTGAAATCTACTCTCTTAGAAAATTCCCATTATTATTAACTACAGTCATTATGCTGTACATTAGATCTCCAGACTTAACTCACCCTACATGACTGCCACTGCTATTTATCCTTCATTACTCTAGAACGATGGGCTGCAAACAAATAATGAAAGGATGGGAAGGTGACAGGTGAAAGACTTCAAGACTTCCAAAGGGTTTTTTAATTGATTCTGAGAGGGACGGTAATAAAAGTGTCCAGATTTAAAACAAACAAAAAACTGCGAAAGCAAAGTTCTTATCGCTGCATCTGGATCAGTTTTGAGACACATCAAAAGGAACGTGCGACTGATTGATTTCCAAAGCTTATGATGCATTTTTAGAATTACAGCAGCTTATTCATGGATGCTGTTCTAATAACTTCGCTCACTCATGGTATAATGACTTCCCTTGCTTTCACTTTCTTAAGTGAGAGATAAAAGGACAGCATTAGAGCAGAACCTACCATCGATCTTTATTTAGCATAGCCCATAGAACACAGAGCTGACGTATCAATTAACTGTGGCTATTACAAATGATTGTAGTGCTTTCTACTCCCAAAGGTTTGAGGTTTCATCAAAATCTGGGAATGCTAAGTGCACCCATGTAAAGATGCACACATCCATCCTATGTCTTTAGGGAAAAAAAGTAGGATATGTAACTGAGAAAGCCATGGTAGAGTTAAAATGGCACCAACTGAAAATCGTAAGCAATGGTACTCATGGCCTCAGATGACGCCACACATGCGCAGAATGTTGACAAAAATGAGTTTTCCATTTTTAAGCCAAAAGGAAACCCTACTCACTATATCACTGGGGTTAGAGAGGATGGAAATGCAGCAGGAGAAAATGCATTGTCTACAACAAACCCAGCTAAGAGAAAGAAGAGAAAGGAACAGGGACCAGCGCTGTTATGCAGGAGTCAGAATACACAGGAATCTAAGAATCTGAATTTGAAGATTCAGTTTTGAGGACCTGAGAGATAAAAGAAAATCAAATACAGTGTGCTGTTTTGAGAGTGACCGACCTTCTCGGACCCTGGCCCTCGGTACAAGCTCTCCAAGTCCTCGTGCACACGATCCAGCAACCAAAGCAGGAACTCCAGGGCGTCGTGCTGGGAATTGCCTTGGAACTGAGAGCCATACTTGGAAACAGCGTTCTGAAAAGGAAAACAGAGGATCAATTTGGCCCTTCCAACAACCAACTAAGGGCCTCTAAGCTCCAGGTCTACCAGTGGTCAGTCTTCAGCCAGACCTGGGATGACGACACGGAAACAACATGGGGTGAGAAATGGTCTTTCCTGCTAAAGCCTCCCCTTTGGGGGCAGGGGGTGTCCTAAATGCTATAAGGGTTTTCTGTACAGGAGAAGGTATCTTTTTTTTCCAGAAAGACTACTGATGTATGTTCCGTCCTCTGAAAACCCACGGGGTTGTCTCTGTTGATTTTTTTTTTCTTAAATTGGGGATTTGGAGGGGGGGAACAGTGTTGAATAATTAGTTGTGGAGGGTGCCAGTCGCCATCTGGCTGCCCGGCAGCAGCTCTTGACCTCTAAGTTCATGGTGGGCGGGTGGGCATAGCCACCATCCCATGTAGGAGTCGAACCAGCAGCCTTGTTGTTAAGAGCGCACACTCTAGCCACTGAGCCATCCGGGCGGCAACTCAGCTCAAGGTGCCGAGTTCAGTCTTTGTTGTGGGCGGGGGTAGCCCACCATTGAACAGACAACCTTGTTGTTAGGAGCACGTGCTCTCACCAGCTGAGCCATCCTGCCACCTGTTGGCAGCTCAGCTCGGGTGCACCATCACTGGCCCATGTGGGACTCGAACCGGTGGCCCGGCTGCTCAGAGATCATGCTCTTAATCTAACTCTTAGCCAACTGAGCCACTCGGCCGGCCCTCTGTTGAATATTTTGATTCTGTTGACCATCCATTCTCCCTGAGGCTCTTGTCCCTTGATCACTCAGGCACATGCTCCCTGGCACCCCTCCTTCTGTCTATTTCCACACTGTTTGCCTCTGTTCTTCCCGCAGGCAGACAGCTGCTTGCCTTCCCGTCCCCCTCAGTGATTTCACTCACACCCACAGTACCAGCTCTCTCTGTGAATGACCACCTGGCATGGTGAAGTGGGCTTCCTTTAACACCAGGCATGGGGTTCCTTCGCTGACCCTGCTACTACGGGTGAAACCCAAGTGCAAACTGCTCTTTCTGTGCTCAGATCACAAAACGTTTGATCCTTTTCATCCTTCATTCCTTTAAGAAACGTTCGCTGAGTGCCTACCACGCACCAGGCACTATTCTCCAGATTGGGGACACAACTGTGAACAAGACAAACAGGACTGCCTGTCCTCAGGACACTTACACTCCCTGTGCCTTCCGCACGGTCCTGTTCAATTGTGTAACAACTTTTGTCCTTTTCTGTATAAATTCACATTGCAGCTTTTTAAAAGTTTATGTCAGGGGGCGGCCGGGTGGCTCAGTTGGCTAGAGCGCGTGCTCCTAACAACAAGGTTGACAATTCGACTCCTGCATGGGATGGTGAGCTGCACCCCTCACAACTAGACTGAAAACAGCGACTTGACTTGGAGCTGATGGGTCCTGGGAAAAACACTGTTACCCAATTTAAAAATAAAAACAAAAGTTTATGTCAAAGGGCAATATAATATATACATATTTTTAAAAAGGAATCAAAAATATAAAGAAGGACAAGAATGAAAAAAAAAAAAAAAGGACAAGAATGAAAAGTTTTCCTTCTACTGGGCCCCTCTTCCTGTGGACCCCTCCCCAGAGGGAGGTCACTCTTAGCAGTTTCTTAAGCATCTTTCCAGGGACTCCTTTTTTTTTTTTTAATGTGTATGCAAGCATAAGCTTCTGAGTGTAAGTGAATCCCCTTGTCTGTGGTGTGTGCACACCTTAGTGTGTGCACACTAAGGGCCTCTAAGCTCCAGGTCTACCAGTGGTCAGTCTTCAGCCAGACCTGGGATGACGACACGGAAACAACATGGGGTGAGAAATGGTCTTTCCTGCTAAAGCCTCCCCTTTGGGGGCAGGGGGTGTCCTAAATGCTATAAGGGTTTTCTGTACAGGAGAAGGTATCTTTTTTTCCAGAAAGACTACTGATGTATGTTCCGTCCTCTGAAAACCCACGGGGTTGTCTCTGTTGATTTTTTTTTTCTTAAATTGGGGATTTGGGGGAGGGGAACAGTGTTGAATAATTAGTTGTGGAGGGTGCCAGTCGCCATCTGGCTGCCCGGCAGCAGCTCTTGACCTCTAAGTTCATGGTGGGCAGGTGGGCATAGCCACCATCCCATGTAGGAGTCGAACCAGCAGCCTTGTTGTTAAGAGCGCACACTCTAGCCACTGAGCCATTGAGTACATGTGGTTGTTTGTCCCACCCTAAGACTGCAGAGCCAGGCCTCATGGCGCCCAGGGCTATTCTCTGCCCACTCCAGCCCAAGGGAGCAGTCTGAGCAAAGCTGCGGACCCAGGCAGGCCTCACCACTGCCAATCAAACCCGATGGCCTGGGCTTTATTCTTTTTCTTTCTTTTACTCTTCCCTTGGAATTTAAAGGAAACTGTAGGACAAGATGAAGCAAAATCCAGGATTTAATTAATTGAAATGCTAGCTCTGAGTCTATGTTCCAATCACACTAGTCTGGTTCCCTGGAGGGCCTAGTTCCTCCAGGCTTCTCTGAATTCTGTAGGACTGCCAGATGGAGTGAATAAAATGAATAAGCAATAAACAATAAATAATGTTTGTAGTATATGTTTGTCCCATGCAACATCCGGGATACATTTATATTTATACTAAAAAGTTATTGTTTAACTGAAATTCAAATTTAAATGGGCATCATGTATTTTACCTGGCCACCCTACCCGCCAGATACCCTAAAACCTGTATCCTTAGTACCAACATTCTTTCCTGGGGGAGCAGCCAGCCCCACCAAGTTGCAATCTCTAAAATCAGTTCTTGGGGTGACCGGTTAGCTCAGTTGGTTAGAGTGTGGTGCTGATAACACCAAGGTTGCCAGTTCAATCTCCGCATAGGCCACTGTGAGCTCTGCACTCCCTTAGAGAGTCAATTATGCCACTGTAGCATGAAAGCGATGTGTAACCAACGACCATGGCTGTTCCCTAATAAAAATAAAATAAAATCAGCTCTTCCTCTTAATGTCAGTGTCCCCCTACAGATTCTCTCACACCCACTTCAATCAGTTGTTAAGCATTCTGGATTCTGCCCCGCCCCTTCAGTAGGGTCCCATTCCTACTGCTGAGTCCTGAGTACTGCTACCCAGATGACAATACCTACCTATAAAGGAGCCCAGCCCCTACCATCTCTCCCAGCCAACCCACTGCCTGCATGGCAGGACAGACCCATTTTCCTAAAGCCCCAGTGGAAAATGTCATGCCCCTACTCCAAATGCTTCCTGGCTCTTACCACCCAATAGTCCAAAAGTCCTTCTCTGGTCTGGCCCCATCCATGTCTCTCACCACTCTCTCATGTGTTTCAAAGTTCCAGCCACTCGGATGCCCCAAACATACTTCCCCACTTCAGAAATATGTACCTTTATTTATTCTTCCTTCCACGTGAAATCCTCCTGCTAACCATGCTAACCTTTTAAGGCTGACACTCTTTTCATGTTAGCCTGGATATAAAACCTTTCCAGAAAGAATTTGACAACTTCAAGCTGATAAGACAAAATAGGGCCTTAACAATGTCCCTGTGTATAAACAGTACAGTTGACCCTTGAACTACACAGGTTTGGATTGCACGGATCCACTTATACACAAATTTTTAAAAATAAACACTGTTAGTGTATTTTCTCTTAACGATTTTCTTTTCTCTAGCTTACTTGGTTGTAAGAATACAATATATAATACATACAACATACAAAATACATGTTAATTGGCAGTTTATGTTATCGGTGAGGCTTCTGGTCAATAGGAGGCTATTAGCAGTTAAGTTTTTGGGGAGTCAAAAGTTATACTCAATTTCTGACTGCACGGGTTTCGGGGCAATGTCAGTGCCCCTAACGCCAGCATTGTTCAAAGGTCAACTGTAGTTCCATCTTGGGGGATTCAGATTAAGGAATGAGAGATACAAGCAAAGCTATCTCTAAGTATCAAAATTATCTGGGGAAAACTGGTGGCACACTCATATGAGATGGCCTTCAAAATTATGCTTGAGGAAATACTAATGAGAAAAGAAGAGATCCTGTCATTTAAAAAAAACGCAAACGTATCTTTTTGAGATTGTTTTATATATATTTGTAGATAAAGACCAGAAAATATATGGAAAAATATTAATAAATAGTTGAAGGATGGGACCATAGGTGGTTTTTTTCATTCTCATTTGTACATTGCAAAAAATAAAAATAAAAATTTATAGTGAACACTGTTCTTTATTGGTCTTTTTCCAACTGTAACAGCATCCGGTAGGTGTTTTCCAGAAGTTTTTTTTATAATGTAACCTGTCGATTCCTACAGAGGACATTCCCATAGACAGTCTATTGAAATGTGACTAGAAATGCATTAAAGCTGAATTCTAACTAGGGAGGGAAATGCAGAAATATTTGGTATTTCTACTCTACAGCATGGCATCCCTCTATCCATGTGTGTGTTTTCTCTCAAATATTTATAATTTTTAACACTTTTCTTATTAAAATTATTCCTAGTTATTTGTTTTTATGAATGAAATCTAATTTTTATAATGTTCTAAATGGTTATTGCTTTTTCTTTCTATCTGGTTTCTGACCTCATTAGTGACAGTGGTTAATTCTAAAACACGGATTTCTAGAGCCATTTAGTAATTTTCTTTCTGTTCACTATCTTTTACTCCATATCCATTTTATGTCTTACTGTTTTGTCAAGAACTTCCAAAACATAAGTGTGATATGATATCCTTGTTTTAAAAAACAGTGCCTCTAGTGTATCACTTGAGGTGTACTCTACGTCTAAAATTATAGGTCTAAAATTGATCCTTAAGCACATAAGCTAAGATAAATTCCAGATATAAATTCCAGATATATTTTCTATAACCATAGAAAAACTAGAGACACATAAAATATAATATTTATCGATGATATAATATAAATAAACCTAAAATTTCCAGTATTGGGATAGGGAGAAGGAGAGAGTCTGGAGAAAACATTTGCAGGAAATACAACAAGGGTTGAGGAACTTACAGAAACAAGTAAAAATAACATTAAGACCAAGGCAGAATGGATAGACAAATGACATAAATAGATGATTCCAAGAGCAGTCGTACCACTAGCAAGAAGCATGGAAAAATCCTATACCTCACTTCTAATAATAATAAAAAATAACAGAAATCATAAAAGCAGAGAGTAAAATGATGGTTTTCAGGGACTGAGGGTAGGGGGATGGGAGAGGTCTTCTTTTAAAGGAACAAACCTGCAACTCGTGAATAAATGAGGCCTGGAGACCTAACACACAGTACAGTACAAAACTGTAATATAAACATTCAACTTGCTAAGAGACTGGATTTTAACTGCTCCTAACACTAGAAGAAATGATAATTATGTGACAGGATAGAAATGGTAGCTAATGCTCCTATGGCAATCATACTGTAATATAAATGTATCAAGTCAATATGATGCACAGTAATCCCCCTTATCTTTGGTTTTGCTTTGCATACTTTCAGTTACATGAGGTCAATAGAGGTCCAACAATATTAAATGGAAAATTCCAAAACTGAACAATTCATAAGTTTCAAATTGTGCTCCATTCTGAGTAGCATAACGAAATCTCATACTGTCCCACTCCATCCCGCCCAGAACGTGAATCATCTCTTTTTCCAGTGTCTCCACCCTGTATATGCTCCCAGCCCATTAGTCATGTAGTAGCCATCTCAGTTATCAGATCTACTGTCTTCCTATCTCAGTTCTTGTGTGCAAGTCACCCTTATAGTAGCCTAAGGCTCTGTCTCAATGCCTGTGTCACTCACCTCATCACAGGGCCATTTTATTACCTTACATCATCATGAGAAGGGTGAGTACAGTACAGTAAGATATTTTGAGAAAGAGCACATTCACATAACTTTTATTACAGTATATTGTTAAAATTATTCTATTTTATTATTAGCTGCTCTTAATTTCTTAACTGTGCCTAATTTGTAAACTAAACTTTATCATAGGTATGCATACATATAGGAAAAAAACAGTATTTATGGTGTTCAGTACTACCTGCAGTTTTTAGGTATCCACTTGGAATGTATCCCTATGGATAAGGGCGGGGGACTACTATACACCTTAAACTTACACAATGTTTCACATCAAATATAACTCAATTTTTAAAAATGGGTGCATTTCACTGTACTTAATTTATAATAAAGTTGACTTAAAAACCAAAAAAACATAAAAATAACAAAATATTCATCTTTGCTTTGACCATGTAATTTCACTTCAAGGAATTAAGTTTACAGATGTGAGCAGAGCTGAGGACAATGACTTAAATACTAGAAATTTCAATGCACAGTGATAACTGGAAAATTGTACAGTGCATAAATGTCTCCATGGGGATTGGCTCATTTAATAAATTATACAATCATTAAAAATTAAATTTTGTAGAATATTTGAATGACCAGGAGAAAGTCTTACGATAGTTTTTTTTTAAAAAAAAAGGATATGAAATTAAAATTTTCAATCGTTTGTATGTGCTTTGAAACACATCAATGTGCATGATGATCATCTCCAGAGATGGGTTATCGCTAGTGGAGTTCCAGGTCTTTTTTTTTACATTTTCGCACTTTCCAATTTTTTTGTAGTATACACATATTTAATTACATCATTAGAAAAACAAAGTACTATAAGTACTACTACAAACAGGGTATTTTAAATGTATGTATCCATTTGCTGTTAAAACAGAGTAGCCTGCTGTCTGTGGAAGGCTGGGTGACTCAGGGCTCAGGAAGGGGGAACACAGAACCACCACCCCGTGTGCAGGTCTTGGGGTTGGGTAACTCACTCCAGCATGCTGGCCCTGTCTCAATTTGTCTCCCTCTGTCTGAAGCTAAAAATCTTTCCTGAGGACAAAACTCCTTTCCAAAACCTTATGTGGCCTGTCCCGAACCAATTCTCCAGTCTCTCCTCCCCGTTCCAGGTCACATAGGCTCTCATTAATTCTTTTAACCATTCATTTATTCTGCCTAGCTCCTAGGCCCCACCCACCTCAGCGACTGGCACAATCAGTCCCAGGGCCTGGAATGCACTTTCCCATACTCCCCTGTCCTTGGTTGACCCTTTCTGTTCCAAAACTCAACTCAATGATTACCTCTCCTACCTGCCTCCCTGCCCCTCTCCCACTGCACCTCCTCCAATCAAATCACAGAATTGGCCACAGCTCCTTGTATTTTTATTTTCTAGCACTTGTCACCAGCTCTAACCACACGCCTGTGATTATTTATTACCATCCATCTCTCCCACTGGACTGTAGGCTCCCGGAGAGCAGCCCCAGAATCAGGTTTTATACTAATCATTAATGCATTTTGTGTGTATGTTACAGTGTCTGGACACTCAAGAAATACTTGTTGGATGAATAAATCTTTATTTTCTTCATCTGTAAAATTAATAGAGCTCACCAAGATTTCAATCAGCAAGGTTTAAAACCCCGGATTCTCTTCAGTTGGCACCCCAGAAAGTCCCAGGAAACCCCAGGTTACATCACCCTCATTAACATATTAACAACTTGATTATCCTTCCATTCCCCTAGGCTCACAGGGAGCTTCCAGACCCTAGGGGTTTCTCAGAGCAAGTAGAGATAGGAAATCCTGGTGAGTCACAGTGGGTGAAGAGTATTATAATTTGGAAGATTTTTTTCAAGCTACTCTCACCTCTCCTGTCCCTGCAGTAACTGGATGAGGCTGCATCTAGCATGAAATAAGTACAAAGGTTTCCCTCCCTCCCTCCTAGGCCTCTCCAGGTAAGGAGGTGTAATGATAAAATAATGAAAAGTTCCTTGGGGCCAGGCATCGTTTTAAATGCTGTACATATAACTCATTAAATCTTCACCACAAAGCTATGCTGTAAAAGGTAGGTACCATTACGGCCCCATTTTACAGATGGGAAAAATTAAGACACAGCAAGATTTGGAAACTTGCTCAAGGTCACAAAGCTCCAGTGACCTTGCTCTTAACCACTATACCATACTGCTTCTCATATTGAAAAAGCACGTTGCCAAAAACAGATATTAATGAAGCCCATGTCACCCACTGATTCCTACAGCACAGCACTTCACTAGTGGGAGCAGGAGAGAGGAAGGTGGGGCTTGGCATCCTCGTGGGTCACATGGCAAGGATAGCTTTCTCAGGCTGAAACTCAGAGCGGTCCGTGATGCTTGTGGAATGAACACTGACAGGTTCCCCCCTCCCCCAAGAACAACAATCGCTAGTTTATGGAGAGCTTCAGCTCTGCCCAGAGGTGTGGTGTTTTAGCAGGAAGCAAGCCATGTGCATCAATTATTAGGAACTCTTGAATCCAACTGGGACCCCAAACGAACACCCCGCTTTAACCCTGGGTGAAGTGACACACGTAACTTCTAAAGTCTCATGACCCTGCAGCATCCCGAGTTTAGTAGACCGTGATGCTGGGGACAATGGAATCAAACCCATGCTAACGCATCCTAGGGGACTTAACTTACGATAAGCAAAAGAATGCCATCTCCGATACAGCACACCCAATCAACTCAAAACAAGAGCGGTCACCCGAGGAGGACCTGGAAAATGCCATCTAAAGAAGGCCCCAGGAAAACCCTTTCCTGATGGAGCATACCGTTTCCAAGAAGCGAAACCAGAAGGGCCAGGACGACGTGACTGCCGAGCGGCAAGGGCGGTAGGCGGCAGGGCGCTGCCTACCTTGAACTCCGCGGAAAGTTGGGGCGTGTATTCGCGTGTCCAGAGCGCGCGCACTAGCGCCGCCAGCTGCTCGGTGACCTCGGCGCGGCCCGGCGCCGCCCGGTAGTGCCCCAGCGCCAGGAACTCGGCCAGCAAGTCGGTGTTGCTGAGACACTGCACCACGGCGTTCATGAAACAGGTGTTGCCGTGGTTCTTCAAGCCCTGCGCGCCGGGGGGGCGCGCCCCATCGCCGGCGGGAAGCTGGGGCTGGGGTGCCGGCGGGAAGCTGGGGCTGGGTCCCGGCGGGCGCTCTTCCTCGGGGCTCCCGGGAGCGACTGGAGGCGGGCCCCAGGAGCAGGCAAAACCCCCCTCACCGTCGCCATCGCAGTGTCCCGGCTGGGGCCGGGGTGGCGAGTCCTCCGGGTGGGAGCGGCTGCCCAGCGCCAGCAGGAAGCGGCTGAGCAGGCGGCGCAGGGAGCGGCGGCGGCGGCGGGGCTGTGGCGTGGGGGACTCCTCTCCTGCGGCGGCCCCCGGACCCAGCTCCATGGCTCCCGTCGGAGCGCCTCCCCGACCGGAGCTCCGGGGCCCCGAGCAGACGAGCGGCTAACAGGCCCTTGCAGCCCGGGACAGTCTCCCCGGCGCAGGCTACTTACGGGCCAGGTGTGTCCGGACCAGGCGGAGGCGGGGCCAAGGGCGGGGCTACCCCGCCCCGCGCGGGAATCCAGTCGCAGGTTCCGCCTCAGGGCAGCGCGGGGCCACCCACCGCCGCCCCCGCGGTGCTGGCTGGAAACACTGGCAGTCACCGAGTTCACGTTCCCCTCCCTCCTCTACCTCTCGTAAACTGACAGACCTGAGTTTACCTGCGCCTTTTCCCTCCCGGCCTTCAAGCTGTGGAAATAATAAATGATAAATTTGAAAGCGCCTAGGAGCTTGCAAAGGCCTGGCTATTTCTAAACTTCTTGTAATTACGTCCAGGTGACTATAAAGAAAAGGGAAAGAAGGACCCTCCAAAGGGCAACCTCTGGCAGGGTGAGAGGCGCGCTGGGAGCTGCGATGGGATGGGGTGCGCTATTGTGCACAGCTGGTTTCTCCGCAGGCTCAGGTATGCGCGGACAGGTGGCGCCACTCCTTTCAGTCTGTCTGTGCGGTAGGGGAGGCAGAGCCTTTGCCCGGACCAGTCATCCTAGGACTGGAACTATTGATAAAAGCCGCGTGTTATCCCGCGTGAAATAGCCGAGATGGTTATGGTTTGTTTTTTTAAAAAACTACAGGCTAGGTTAGAGTTACTTTCCAAAAACTTGCGAGACTGGATCATCCTCGCTTTAATTGGTGGAGAAACGGGCTCAGAGAGGTTAATGCAATATACCGAGGCCACAAGATCTGTAAGCAAAGAAACCAAAACTCGACCTGGGTCTGTGGACTGCCAACCCCACAGGGTCGCTCTTTCCAACCTCCGTGCAGTATAGTATTTGCTTATCAGGAAGTTTTCTAGATCTCAGAAGCTCCCCCTACTCTGTCACCTGCTCTCTCCTTAACGCAAAATCCTTGCTGAATTGTTGCCCAATAAGAATTGGCTTTGCCTTGCCTGGCCCTTGATTCCCTGGGTAACTGCTGGTCTCCACTGTCTTTATCCTGTAGCAGGTTTATATTAAATCAGGCAAAGTTACAAAATGAGTTTCTCATCAATTTCTAGCTCAAAAAGAGATCAGTATGCATTATTACATCAACACTGTTACTTATTACTTGATAAATGATTATTAAATATCTACCTTGATATGTCCAATAGGGCCAGCAGCAAGTCACCAGATGCGAAAAAAAAAAAAAGGAATGTTAGTTAAGGATAAAGAATATGCTTAGAACAAAAGACTGTACTATGCATTGGGGACTTGGTGTTTCCGGAAAATGTCATTATTGACCCTCTCTGGAAAGAATACACGGTTGGATTATTAATACACAAGGTCCATCCTGTGCCCTTCTGGTAGTAAGCACAGGAAAAAGATTTTATGGCCAACTCCACAAAAGCACCTATGAAATTTCATCCTTGACAATCACCCCAAGATCCTCCAACAACACACGTTTTCTTGGAGAAAGCACCATAATTCATGTTTAACTCTGTCAGGAATTCTGCAGGTGCTTTATTACATTATTTCACTTAATTCTCACAGTAACTTTTGAGCATGGTTTAAAAGCAAATAACCTTTATTCTTGCTTTACAAAAGAGAAAACAGTGGCTCAGAGAGTTAAAAAAAAATACAAAACAAAAAACCTACCCAATATCTGGATTCAAACCCAAGTCTTGCCCCATACAGCTTGACCTATGAAATGCTGGTTAAGAAGGTAAGCCGGCTTTCCTTATTCTTAGAGGATGTCAGCAAAGCTGTCTGTGCACATATCATAAGGGCTATGGGTTTTGCAGAGTCGCAGAAAAGAATTATGACAGGAAACCAACAACGGGGAGTTTATTTATAATAAACTTCTAATTAACAGCATGGACAAATTATTCTTGAACATATTTCAATTTTAATATACAATGTAAGAATGTAGAATGCATTCTATAAAAGAAAGGAGAAACATAAAATATTTTAACCAAAGAACAAAAAACACAGATGTGAGAAATCAAAGCCAGCCTTGGGAGTTATCTGAGCTCAGTCTCCTGCAGAACTGGGAACCAGGAGGTCTCCGTTGCTTCATGAGGCAAATGGGTACTTCCACCTCAGAATGGCTCCATCTGCACTTACACTAATGATGTACTGATTTCCCGGACTTATCCGAATACGTGTGATGTTGCCACTGTGTCCAACCCCAACGTGAGTCACTTCACCCTCGTTATAATCCCAAACTTTGACCAGATGGTCATTTCCACCTGAAAAAGACATTTATATGGCATTGCTGTAACAGGATTTCAAATAACTGGATCATTTTCAACCCATCCCCCATATGCTAACTTAATGGAAGAAAATATGTTTGTATAATAACTCTTTTCCTTGATTATAAAAGTCTAGGTCTGTTGTAGTCAATCTGGGCAAAAAAAATACAAAGAGGTGACATCACCCTTGATCCCACCACCCAAAAATAACCACTCATAACATCTTGGTTTAGTTCCTGCCAATCTTTTTTTCTGTAAGTGTATAGGTATACATACACATCTGTGAATGTGATTGGGATCACACCATGTCTGGTTTTATATCTTGTTTTCAGTAAATGTAGTTGTGAGGCTTTAATTCATTGGGGGCATCTATTTGTTAATATTCTAAAGAATCGAAGAACCTGGCAGGAAATGATATTGATTTTGTTCCAACAGGCATGTTGGTGGTAAATGCCCCCTGGAAATGCTGATTTAAAAGCCTGGCATTTTATTTGATTTTATTTAAAAATTTTGTTTTATTAGTATGGAGCCCAGCTGTCAGGGCCTCCCAGTTAGGAAATGTTTACAGGCTTTGGAGACGGGCCTGCCCCTCCCCTTTGGGCAGGACAGAGGAAAACAACAACTTGTTGATTTACATTGTGTCAATTCCTTGTAAGTTTCTTTCCTGTGCATGTGTGCTGGCTCCATGCTGCTGCTGTTTGTACGCTCCCATTTTGGAGCTCTCGCTTTCTCTGGCCCTGGCCTCCGGTGAATGAAGAGTTGTTGTTGCTGCATTTATGGCACACAGTCAGCCTCGTGCCTTCTCCCAGCTGGGCATCTCACCACCCAGACGGTCCCTGATTGACACCCTCAGACCCAACCATTAGGGAACTGCCATGGTCATTGGTTACAGATCGCTTTCATGCTACAATGGCATACTGACTCTTTTAGGGAGGGCGCAACTCACAGAGGCCCATGCAGGAATCAAACTGGCACCCTGGGTGTTATCAGCACCACGCTCTAACCAACTGAGCTAACCGGTTGCCCAAAAGCCTGGCATTTTAGACTTCAGCAGGAAATAACAGAACAAGGCACGTTGGATAGCCCAGGACATTTAAGGCCCATTTGTATCATTTTTTGTGGCCTACCACAAAAAAGCCAGCTCTGTAAGGCGTAGCTTTTCTTTGTGCCCCAAAGGCTCCTGGGCAAATGTTTCCTCTCATTGAAATATGACTTATGAATTTTACTTTCCCAGCCACACTGGCTGCAGTGCTCAGGCCTGAATCAAAACATGTTGCTCTTTAGACCCTTTTGTGGTTGCTTCCAGTGGCCTCCCGCCTGGGAGTTCCTATTCCTATCTAAATAAGTAGGGTTTGGCTTTCTTTTCTTATCCCAGGACTAACCTGTAACAAAGTATACTCCGTCCGGTGTGATATCCATACCATTGATTGACCCAGACAAGGAACCTTCCAACTCTCTGATTACTGACCCATCAAATACTTCCCAGTAAGCAATCTGGAATTCAGGAGAGAAGCATTAAGCAGGATTCAGGCTCAGTGGAATCACCCACACAACATGCTAAAAAAAGATGGTTCGACTTTACATAGAAAGTAGTAAAAATGCATTGTGGGGTGATATATCGAAAGTATAAATAGGCTAAAGCAAGGGGGTAGAGAAACCATTTTAATATTTTTAGTATTGGCTTTTAAATTTGCATTCTATTTAAAGAGATGTTGATATGCTGGTAAACCCAAACTATGACAGAAAGTGTTTTTAATGAGACTAAGCAGATTGAGTCTGAAGCAAGCTGTGAATGAAAAATGAAATAGCCACACGGCTTCCCCTTTCCCGCCTCTGCGCTTAGAGCAGGCGAGTGGAGCTTCTGGCCAGGCGGGAGAGGAAAGCGTTTCCTTCCTTCAGAGCTTGGGGAAAGAGCTGTGCGGAAAGTTCTGGAGACTGGGACTGATAAAGTCACCAGCTGCCCCTCCCAGTTCCTCACCCCACCCTTATTCCCAACTTTCTCTTCTGCCTCAAAGCAATAAAGCATTCTGCAGGGCGGAGTTTAAAGTCAAGCTGATAAGATCGGTCCCCTCCTGGGGAGGGGAACTAGGTTAGGGGTGGCATGGGGAAAGACAGGAGCTCAAGGCAGGAGGCTTTTCTCCGAATATACAACTTACGCTTTTTGAACTTTGAAACTTATAAGTGTACAGCCTATTCAAAAATAAAATTTCTTTCTAAACAAGGAGCACTTCACCAGGAATCAGGAGTATGAACTTGGGAATGCATTTCACCCCTTTCTCTTGGTTTCATGTTGATGGAAACTTGCTGTGTTCCAGTCATTATGCCAGGAATCTGTATTCCTCTGAATGGAGTTAGAAATTGTGTACACTATTAAATATATACAGAGGGTGCCAAAAAAACATGTAAACGTTTTAAGAAAGGAAAAAAACCTATTAAAATTGCACTATGGTAACCACTTTGAGCACCTCTTGTAATTGCAGAAGTCAAACGTGACTTGTATTCATCTTTTGTTATCGGTATAAAGTATTACAATTTTAATATAGCTTTTTCCTTTATTAAAATGTGTATACATTTTTCCGGCACCCTCTGTGGATGGATGGATGGATAGATAAATGGATGGATGGATGGATGGATGGATGGATGGATAGATATAGCTATATAGATAGATATAGATATATGCATACGCACATACATATATATAGATATATCTGTATAATTTCTATCGATGCTTGATTGCTTTAATATAAAGTTCTGTTTTCATAGTGAAAACATAAAGGACCATAAAAGCACACCAACATCTTTATTTCTCAGTAAGCACACCCATGTAAGAAGTTTGTGCTTGACTACATGCTTTCTTGGCCTAAGAAGTCAAAGTGACCCTCTCCTGGGCAGAATTAGCAGGCCTCAGGCTTTTCTGAATATCCTCTGCCTGGGATGGTCTTCCCAGAGACTTAAGCCTGGTGAGGTCCTTGTGTCACTCAGGCCTCAGCTCAAATGTCACCTCCTTAAGGAAGTCTTTACTGACCATCCTAGCTTTCTTTCCCCCAAGCCAGTATTATATAACCTGTTCTATTTTCTTTTTAGCTCTTTCACCACCTCATATCATCTTGTTCACTTATTACTATTGTTCATTCATATATTTCTTTACATGTGTACTGTCCAATTCCATCCCCTCCCATCCAGAGTAAATGCATACAATAAGTCAGCTCCATGACAGTAGGGACATTGTCATGTCCCCAGCACTTGGAAGAGTTTTACAGTTTTATGATTTAAACAGTCTGATAAAAATTCTAATAAGACTGAAATAGACTGTTTCAAGTCTCAGAAACCGAAACATAAAATATGGCAGATATCACACTAATTTAGAAACTCTATGAACCATATATCAAAGCATTTATAGTGATGTTGTGGTTAACTCCGTAATATCCATTCCAAGGGGAAGCCTACTTAGACCATAGGTCAAACATGGGGTTGGGGGGTGGATAGGTAGAAGCCAGTATGGGCCAATAAGACACAAAGAAACTAACAAGGCCGATGTACAAACTATAATTGAGGCAGATTACATGCCCTCCCACAACATTCTATCTGTGTCAGGCACATCCTGGTTGGATGAGGCAGCGTTTCTTGCGTTTTTATGCCAAAATTTCTTTGGGCAGTAGTTCTCAGTTACCTGGAAAACTTGAACAGGAAAAAGCTCCACTCCTAGATTCTAATTGGGGTGACAGGGGGGTAGAAGAGGCACTTTTAGTCTTTTCCCTACAATATTTTTATACTTGTAACTCATCAGCTTTTTCTGTAGCTAGGAAAAAAATAAGTATTCAACCTCTTCTTCAATTATCTCCAAGTCTGAATTAGAGCAAATCCATTAACCGTATGTGCAGGTTAATTAGGCTGATCTGATTTGGCTGGCAGGGTAGATGGCGCCTTACTCTCCTTGTCCCGCCATGGCCGCTCTCCTAAAGCTTCCTGCTTGCTCCAAGGGGACACATTTCCTCCAAAAGGACCAAATTCACCCATGGATGTGAACTCTCCATCTTACGAAGTTTTTAATATAATGATGAAGTAGAGTGATGGGAGACGAGGCGCTCTACTGACAATTGATTTGAATTTAGTCAAAGTGACAGCTGGTTTGGGCATAGCCGATTCCTTTCTAGCCTCAGAAATTTCCTAAAAATACAAACCAATATGTACTGAGTACCTACTATGCGCAGGCAACCTGCTATTAGCATTATATATGAGCACGGCTTGCTTTAATCCTCGCAGCAACTCTGTGAGGTCAGTGGTGTCATCATTCCATTTTACAGGTGAGGACGTGATGGCAGCAAAGGGTTACATGGCATTTCCAGAGTCACACTGATCAATAGCAAGACTGTCATCTGAACTGGCATGACTCCAGAGCCTGAACCCTCAGCCACAACACTTCACTGCTTTTCTCTTGTACCAGAAAGACCTGGACTCTTGCCAAGAGTACTCACCTTTCTGTCTGTCCCACTGGTGATGATCTGGAACTCTTCAGGGTGATAACACACACACTGGAATAAGGTGTTCGCCAGGATCATCTGATTCCTTCTAAGATGCCTGAAAAACAGATTCGAAAGCTGTGAAACTTGACTTTCTGTTCCCCAGAACATGTTAGTACTCAAACTGCATTTGGTACAAGCTTGGATTGGTTGGTTTACTTTTCCCAGACAGACTTCCTCTTCCTCTGCCTACTCCACTTGCATTCTCACATGGCACCTATGGGGTAGTCAGAAGAAACTGGGCAGGGCCCTTTTTCTACAGACAACACACAGGACTCAATGGGAAGCCTCGAGTTCCAGGGAAAAGGACGTAAGAGAGGCTGAACACAGAGTCAACCTGCTGTCTTCCACGGAAAGCACTTCATTCCTGAGGCAGCCATTTTAAAATGGAAGTCTCTACAAGCTGAGCAGCAAAGTGCGGGGAAGGGCTTTATAAAAAGTGATATTATTGAGCCTAACTTCTAGGGATTTGGATTCAGTAGCTTGGGATGAAGCCCACAGATCTGCATTTTTAATCAGCATCGTAGTTGATTCTAATGTGCACATAGTTTGAGAACCACTGCTTTAGGTACTGTACCAAAAAATGTGGAAATTAGCCTCTGCTTCCATAGACGATGTGGCTGGGTGGCCATCGCACAGGCCAGGCTCTGCTGGCTAAAATAATGCTCCTTCACAGTTTCTTCTCATTATGGAAGTTTTCAAACATGATATGTGAACTGACTATTTTTAAAGATTTTGCCACAAATTAACCAAATATTCCTGCTACAGAACAAGGAGGCGTTACAGAATTGAGGTGGTCATAAACCATTCATGGAAACAAGCACAGACATGCCCTTCTAGTTGTATGCTTTCCCAATGGGAAGTCCAAGTGTAAGCTAACACCTCCCACAAGTATTGTCCTTGGACCAGCAGCCCCAGGGGCATTACACATGCAACATCTCAGATGCCACTCTGGACCTACTGAATCGAAATCAACATTCTTACAAGCTCCCCAGGTGATTTGTATGCACATCAAAGTTAGAAACACACAGAGCCAGAAGACAGAAGCTTGCTTTGGGTTTTGTTTTTTAATGTATTAAATAAGAAGTGTTCTACCTTCGCCTTTAGTTCTCAAACTCTTCTCCGATCAAGAGTGTCTCATATTCTTTAGATATATATATATATATATATATATATATATATATATATATATGTTTTTCCCTCTCACCTCTGTACTTAATCAAGTCTAATGCATTTATACACAAAAGCCAGGCATCCTAGGAGTGGTAGAGGGGTGCTGGGCGGGGAGAAGGGTTGGGGGAATAGGGCCTAATTCTAACTAAAAACACACAGCAAAAATACTTACAGTAAAAAAGAAAAAAAAACATCCTTGAAAGTCCTTGAATTACTCCAACAAGAAAGTTTTCATGCTTTGGTCTAGGTAGCTTGGAGTCAGATACTCTGTGTGGGTAGCAATATACTTACAGTATAAGAGTCCTAAGAATGGGGCCAACTGAGGGTAAGTGCAACTTACGCCACCCCCACCCCCACAGCAAGCTCATTCTGGGCTTGACTGGACTGCATGGAATGACCAGAGGAACTGCCTGCATTGCTTGTTTCCCTTCTTCATTTTGGGAGGATACTTAGAATTGAATTCGTGTAAGTTAAATCATGCTTCACTGTGTGTATCCAGAAAGTGACTTCTCTGTCTGTCCAGAAACCTCTACTATCCAGCTCTTCCTGGAAACAAATACCCTTTCTACCAGTGTCTGTAAACCCCGAGCAGTCACGGAGATGAATAGCTCCTGATGCACATCCCTTACTGTTGCCTTAAATAAGATTTTTACCCTTCATTTGAACCTTCTCTCAAGTTCAACAAAATGCTGACATTGTTGGGGTTGTAAGTGCCACTTCATCCTCCGCATCACAGGTACCTACACAAGGTCCCAGATGATGCAGGTGCTATCTGTGCTGGCTGTGACACACTCCTTGTCATTCTTCTTCACCCGAATGCACGACACGGAGGACTTGTGCTCCTTCAGGGCCTCCTTCAGCTTCTGGGTCCGGCAGCCTATCTGCCACACCCTCACCTGAAAGCCATAAAGCACAGGCTCTCAATACAGGCTGGGACTTTCAACGAGATAAAAAAAATTCCAAGAACTTTTTCACCTCACTGTTTGACTTTTTTTTTTTTTAATTTCCCTGTTCTCTTCTTAGTTCAGTGGGGATGGGAATGCTAAGTTGTAGACTAGGAATATTCTTCCATGGAGCCAGGGAAATGATTCCCAACATCCTGCACCTGCTTCTAGTTTCAGGGCTGAGAAATGTATCAGAAGCCTGCTACTAAAGCTGAAAACGCAAGGGCTGCTGGTAACCCAAGAGAAATATGTCTACTCACTTCTGATGAGCATTGCTCTCAAATTTCTGATGCCATCAGGGAATATCTTGGGTACTCAGAGCCATATTTAAACTTTCACATCAGCTGCTCAATTTTAATCACTTAAAAATCAGTGGGTCCCAACCCCCTCAAGGCCAATACCACTTTCCATAAAAAATATTTTCTAACACCTTTTTGCTATCCCGAAATGAAATTCATAGGTCATACAACTACCTACATGCAAATTTCTAAACAGTCAATATGATGCCCTAACTGTAATAAAAATGGTAAGTAAAAGGAAACCAATTTAGTTATTATTGTATATCCTATAATGGATAAATACTCTGTCACAACTAAATTATAAAACAATAATACTTGTATAGTCAGATGCTTATACTGTCTTATAATAAATATGTTTGACTATTAAAATAAGAAGAGCAGAAATTATTTTGTATAAGTGATATAAGACAATGAAAGCACAATAGTCTGTGAATACTCGACTAAAAACTAGTGTTAGGATACGTAATTTGTTTGTACCTGGTAAGAGGAAAATAACCTTAAATCAGTAAGAAAAACATTCTAAAACATTTTCTTAGTAAAGAAGATGAGGAAGCATGAGGTTATTCCAAATGAACTGGGTCATATTCATTTCTATGGTGTCCAAGTAATTCCCAATATTTTAACATGGGATGAGATAATGACTATTGCCAAAGAAAACAAACCTCCAGTCTTGAAATCCCACTACATGTGGAGGCATGCAGTTGGTCCTTTTCTAACTGGTGTGATGTGGGCACTGGCTAAACAGCCCCAGGACTGGAACTTTGGAGGCACTGGGCATTATTAGCCCTTTAGCTGTGGGATTGCAAGAGGTGTTGTGTATGCTTGGGGGGAAGGGGATAAGGTGATGGGACTCGGAGCCTCGCCACTCAGACTACAGCCATTTACCAATGAAAACAGAAGTATCTGAGTGTTTTAGCAACTACTGCACTCATACCAGTGCATATCTGCTGACCAGCAGCCCTGATCTGTAGTACTTACAAAGACCTGGAAGACTACGTCTTTTGGAAGGAAAGGTCTGTGATAGCTGTGGGGAATGGAAGTAATGGCTGACACTGTGAAAAGACCGCTGAGCAGGGCCAAAGGCAGTGAAGTTGTAATGTGTGATTTCCTTTAGAAGCTCTCATCAGCCGGGGTTCAGGCACCTAGAATAAAGGTGGTCTGGTCCAAGGCAAGTTTGGGCATCAGCAAGGAAGATGCTGCGAAAGGCTGAGGGATCAAGAAGGATGCTGAGGTATCCGCAAAGGCATGGCTGAGGAATAAGGGAAGGGTATAAAGCCATGAAGGTGGTGGTAGGCAGAGAAGGTCATGGTCTAGGGCTAGATGTGTCTATAGAGCACCTGAAATGTGGCAAATCCAGATGGAGATATGCTCTCCATCTCTGGGAATACGTACACCAGATTTTGAAGACTTACTACAAAATAATGTAAAAGATCTCATCAATAGGAGTATTGTTATCTCCACTTTACACACAGGAAACTAAAGTACAGAGAGGTTAAAGAACACGTCCCAGGTCACACAGCTGGGAAGTGGTAGAAATGAAATCTGAGCCCAGGTGGCATGACTGCAGGACCCAAACACTCAGCCACTCATCTGCTTGGCCCAAACTCTGCCAAAGGGAAGGCTGTGGGATAGAACAGTGGGGGAGTAAGGGAGGGGAGACACAAAGCCAAATCTGTGTGTGAAAGATGTTGTAGGCTCCTCGAAATGATGGAAGAGAAAGGTCGAGTGTAATAATTTAAAAATAATGGTCAAAATGTCTGGGTAGTTTAAAGAATTGAGTCTAAAAATAGCATCTCCTTTAAAAGATAAGATAAAAACAATTTCTATAAAACCATGATCTTTGAAGGCAAAGAACAAGTAAGTATTGCAAAACACCAATTTGGATTCATACGCAACTCGATTCCATACAGAACGTTTTCATGTCCGCATCTTAAATGTCCTTTCTGTGAACAAATGTACTAATATGTGGATTTTTCTTATTAGAACTTTAATTTATGATGTATTTTAGGGTTTCATCAAAATGTTAATTTGGTCTTTCCTGACTCCTAGCACAGGTTAAAAAAAAAATCAAATTAAGTGGCCACCAATGAGGCAGTTGTCCTAAATTGAAGGATATTTTTGTGACAACATGGATGGATCTTGAGATTATAATGTTAAGCGAAATAAGTCAGATGTAAAAAGTAGAGAACCATATGATTTCACTGATATGTGGTATATAAAACTGAAAACACAAAAGAACAAGAAAAACAAATGAAGAAACAACACTCAGACACAGACAATAGTTTAGCGGTTACCAGGAGGTAAAGGGGGAAGGGGTGGTAGATGAGGGTAAAGGGCATCAAATATATGGTGATGGAAAGAGAACTGATTCTGGGTGGTGAACACACAATGTGATATATAGATGATGTATTACAGAATTGTACACCTTAAATCTACTTAACTTTGCTAACATTTGTCACCCCAATAAATTTTAACTAAAAAAAAAAAATAGAGGGCTGGTCGAGTGGCTCAGTTGGTTAAGAGATTGCTGCAGAGTGCAAGCTCTGAGCAACAGGGTCACCAGTTCGATTCCCACATGGGCCAGTGAGCTGCGCCCGAGCTGAGCTGCCAACAGGTAGTAGGATGGTTCAGTTGGTGAGAGCACGTGCTCCTAACAAGTTTGGAGCTGGTGGGCTATGCCTGCCCGCAACTAAAAACTGAACTGGGCACCTTAGGCTGAGCTGCCGCCTGGGTGGCTCAGTGGATGGAGCAGTGCACTTTTAACAACAAGGCTGCCAGTTCGACTCCCACATGGGATGGTGGCTACACCCACCTGCAACTAATTGAACACAGCACCTTGAGCAAAGTGGAACGACTGGACTTGGAGCTAAGCTTGCTGCGCCTTCCACAACTAAGATTGAAGGACAACTTGGCCGTTCCCCTTCCCCAATTCCCCAACACTGTTCCCCTCCCCCAATTCCCCAACACTGTTCCCCTTCCCCAATTCCCCAATAAAATCTTAATAAAATAAAATAAGGACTCTGCCTCCAAGAACAATACCTCTCCTTCCCCGCCGCCACTGATGACCCTTTTACAGTCGCTGGTGGTAGCGATGGCCGTCACTCCGATCCTGTGGGCATTGTTAATGACATACATCAACCGGCCTGTCTCTGGGGCAAAGGCTCGGATTTTACCATCGTCCCATGCTGGCATGAAAGGAAAACAAAGGGCAGGCAGAATTAGTATGTCATACTCTTTCTGCAGTCTGTTGCCCTCCTAAAGCATAAGTGAGAGTCAGGATTGGAGAGCAGTGCTGGTGATGGAAGAAAGAGGTCAGTCCCCTATCAACTGCCAGGAATCATATACTCCACCTGATTCCTCAAACTGGTCATGTACCTGGCTAAGGGACATGAGTGGCTTGTCTCAGTTGAAGCTGCCTCCAGGAGCACCCCACTCCAGGAGAGAGAAGTTGGGGTGGGGAGAAAGGAGGCAGGCCAGCTCCCACCTCTCCCATGAACTGCAAAACTTTTACATTCAACTAGCTAGTGGATATCACACCTGGCGTGTATAATTTAACATCCCCAAATAAATATTGGCCCCTCCTCCTACTTTTAAACCAGATGTTCTTTCCTCCACTCCCACTATCTTCCTCATCTCAGTAAAATGTGCCCATCTACCCAGTTGCTCAAGCCAAGAATTTCAGAGTTATTCTTGATTCCTTCCTATTCCATCCACCCAACCAACCCAACATCCAATCCATCAGTAAGTCCCATCATCTCTACAGTTAAAAAACATCCCGAGTCTGAACATTACTTAACCCCTCCACTGGGACCACTCTCACCCAAGCCACTAGCATTCCTCTCCTGAATTATCATAACAGCTTCTTCCCTGGACTTGGACTCTTGCTCCCCTAAAATCGATTATCTAAAATCGATTATTTGTGCAGGAGTCAGGGTGAATCTCTAAACACAATGTTACCTCCTTGATCAAGAACTTCCTAAGCTTCATTTCCTTCACTACCACTTTTCCTGAACACTGACCCCAACCTAACCCATTAAGCTCCAGATACACCGGTTTTCCTTCTAGTCCTCAAATACACAAAATGATTTCCCAACTCGAGGTCTTTATATTTGCTGTTCCCTCTGCCTAGAATGTTCTTTGCCTGTGTCTTCATATGACTGACTCCTTCTCATCTTTGGTGTCACCTCTTGACCTTAGCAATTTTAAGTAGGATGCTCAAGGCAGATCCCATTTCAGCAAAGACCTGAGGAAGTGAGAGGGTGAGGGAGTGAGTCATGGAGCTAGCTGGGAAAAGAATATTCCAGGCAGACTGAACAACTGGAGTAAAAGACCCTTTGTGCAGTGTGTGTGTGCAATAGCAAAGAAGCAGGGTTAGCCAGCAGTGCGAGTGGGAAGAGACAAAGTCAGAGGTAAGGAGGTGGAAGTGGGAGAGGTGAGAAGGTCATATAGGACCTTGTAGGCAATTTCAGGGGCTTTTTCCTTTATTCTCTAAAAGATCTTTGAATCCTAGAAATGACATGATCTGATTTTTACTTTAAAAAGAGATTTCTGGCTTCTGTGTTGAGAATAGACTGAGGGAGAAGGGTGGTAGGCAGCGGTAGAAGCACGGAGCCATGGATAATCTGGGGAGAGAGATGATGGCGGCTGAGACAAGGACAAAGATGGTGAGAAGTGATGGAAACTTGGGTATACTCTGAAGAGGGAACCATTAGGGACAAATGGATGTGGGCTGTGAGAGAAAAAGAGGAGGTGATAATGACCTTTCTTAGCTTTATGTGTGTGTAAGCTAAGAACTCCTGGTGGCCACTGCTGTGTAGAAAAAAGGAGAGGCCAACACGTAGGAAACAAAGCCAGGAAAAGCGGGGGTGAGATGGGTCCCTGATATCACCATTTTAATGGCTACACCTAAAGATCCACTTGACTTTTCGTTGACGTGAACCAGCGAATTTACTTTTAGACCACTGGGGAAATTTGTACATGGATTGAGCTTAAGAAGATATTAAGAAATTATTATTTTATAGAAAAATATTATTTTTAGAGATGCATGCTAAAGTATTTAGAGGTAGGATATCATCATGTCTATAATTTATGTTAAAATATTTTGGCATGAAACAATCTATTGAGTTAAAAATAAATTCCCTTTGAGGTATAACTTAAAGTCAGGTTTTTATCCCTTGAACAACAAGAAGGGTTCTAACACCAGTGCCCTATACTCACTTAAGGACTCAAATCCGTTTTGTAATTGAATTCCTAAATTTCCCTGTGAGAGAGAAAGCAACATGTTATATGTAGCAATTTGGAAGAAGAGAATTTGCTATTTGGTTCTTCCTAGCTCAGAAAGGCTCCCAACTAGGTGAAATTCCAAAGAGAGGCTAGATTAGAAGCAAGGAGGCAGGAGACAGTGGGAGGCTGCTCCAGGTTATTTACATGTAGACACTATAGTGTTTAATGAGAATGACAAGACCCAAAGCCACAGCCAGAGCCGGATGCCAAATCTTAGTAGGTCGATGTTACCTGAAATGATGCTCTTGCCGTCTCTCATGAAGTCAATGCTGTGGCAGGTCATGTTGGGTACAGTGATCCGCAGCAGCTCCTTGTTGGACAGCGTGTGCCACACTCTAATGTCCTCCTTGGCACAGGTGGCAAATAGCTCACCAGTGCCACTGAAAAGAAGCCCCCCGCGAGAATAAGAGATGCAGCCGTAAAAGATGCAGTATTTCTTAGATGCCTGTTTTGTGAAGTTTGACACTAAAATGTGTTTCATAGGGATACAGGGAAGGATGTCTTTTAGGCACCAATTATCTCAAGGCTTGATGGTCTTACAGATTGCTTGTATAAAATGGTGTTGGCTGTCCACAAATCATCTGTGAACAATCTTTTATAGTCCTTTCCCTTGAGGAAGGGTTGGGGCAAAATTGCTCAAAAAGGAAATGTCAATGTAAAAGTCTTTCAATATCCTGGTAGACTGGGGGATAATAAGCAACATTTCTTGAAATAAAGTACATCTATGAAATATTTATATTAAAAGAGGCTAAATGAAACTTTTCCTGTAAAGTAGATAATCATTAAAATTTCAGAGAAGAAAATGACAAGGGTGCTAGAATTCATGTTTGCAGATAACCCAAAACACTTCTTTGCTTAGTTATGAGAAAATATGAGACTGTGGACAAGGAAGAGCATCCCAGAGTAATTGGCCTGTCAGGTGTTTTTTGTTTGTTTGTTTAAGAACAACTTGTAAATAGAATGAAAAGTACCACGTTGTCAAAAAATTACAGGCTATTCCAATTTGAATAAGAAAAGGAGTAATACTAAGGTACAATAAAAAACACCTGCTTTATCAGTATAAATTTCTAGCTACAGTCTGTGTGGAGACTAAGCTAAGTTTTATATTTAAATATCTCTCAGAAAAATTCTACATATCATCATCAAAAGAGAGAGCCTCTCTCTTTCTTTTAAGATCTACTCACTTTCGAATTAATAGAAAAATAAGTGGATCCTTTCTATGTATTTAGCTTTGGGACTCAGAGATAAAATTATAATGCTGAACTAGTTACTTAGAAAGAGTAAGTGCTAAACAGGACAGCAGATGAGATGGAGCTCCTTGACAGAAAAGTCCTGATTAACAGAGATCAAATCAAGCCAATCTTAGAATAATAATATTTATTTAACATAAGAGAAGTTTTCTATTAGATACTGCCTTCAGTGACTAAGCTCCTCCTTTGGGGAAAGTGAGCTCTTAAAAGAGGCAGATGGACCCTTCATGAAAATCAAACATCATACAATTAATACACCTAGAGAACTTTCCAAACTCTCCCCACCCTTGACAGACAGTCCACTTCCTCAAGAGTTAAGTCTAGTCCAAAATGAGCCATTCAAGTAGTAGATTGTCTTTAGTTTAGAATCTGAAAGATTAAGTTCCAGAAAAAAACAAACTGATTGGATCAAGATGGTGCATTAGGCCCATATGCTCCCTCCCTCCTTTCAAAAATCCCATGAAAGGGGCGGCCAGTTAGCCCAGTTGGTTAGAGTGCAGTGCTCACAACACCAAGGTTGCCTGTTGGATTCCCACATGGACCACTGAGATGCACCCTCCACAACTAGAATGAAACAACTACTCGACTTGGAGTTGGGGCGGCCAGTTAGCTCAGTTGGTTAGAGTGCAGTGCTTATAACATCAAGGTTGCTGGTTCAATCCCCACACCCTCCACAACTAGATTGAAACACCTACTTGACTTGGAGCTGATGGGTCCTGGAAAAACACACTGTTCCCCAATTTAAAAAAATAATAAAAATGAAAAATGATGAGTAATTAAAAAATACATATATATCCCATGAAAGTGATATAGAGATAGAGATGATAAAAATAGAGATAGATGTAGATATTTAGATATATATATATTTTTTCTTAACAATACAGGAAAGCAGGAAAGACTATCATTAAAAGGCCAGAAACATTGATGATAAACAGTGATTAGCCAGATAAACTCTGTAGAGAAACAAAACTGGGGGAATTCTTCATCAAAGATCTATATTAAAAAAAAAAAAAGCCAAACCAAGTTTTATAGACTGAAAGGAAATGACACCAGATGGCAACTTAGATATTTAAGAAAGAATGAAGAGCATCAGAAATGCTCAAATATGTGGGTAAGCACAAAAGGCTTATCTTTTTCTTTTCTTCTCTTAAATTCTTGAAAATATTTATGACTGTTTAAAGCAAAAATTATAATATTGCACTGATGGGTTTATAACAGAAATAGGTATATATGAAAACAATAGCACTAAGGATACGAGTGTATTTAAGGGAAATATACTGTTGCAAAGTTCCTATGCTGTATTTTACTTAAAGTAATTCAATATTAACTCTAAGCAGACTCTGATATGTTAAATATTCATTCTGTCATCCTTAGAGCAATCACTAAAAAACTAGTGCAAAGATATATAGCTAGAAAGCCAACAGAACAATTAAAATGTAATGCTAACAACATTTGATTAAAACAAAAGGTAGCAGGAAAGAACTAATAGAAGAACAAAGAACAAATGAGACAAAAGAAAACAATAACAAAATTAAAGATTTAATACAACTATATCAAAAATTACATTAAATGTAAATGGATTAAATATTTTAAGTAAAAAATAGAGGTTATTAGACTGGATAGAAAAGCAAGAAAATTGTATGTTGTTTCAAGAGATCTGCTTTAAATATAAAAATACAATATATTGAAAAAAATATTGAAAATAATAAGATTTTTTAAAAGATATATCTTACAAAGAGTAAGAAAGCTGGAATGAATATACTAATATACAAAGAGA